CCCCAAAACCCCAAAACCCCAAAACCCCAAAACCCCAGAACAAATATAAAAAGTTGTGATTTATACAAATTTAATAAATATGAAATCAATCCAATCTTCATCAGTAGCTAAGAATGAAATCTGAAAGGAATCTCAGAAGATGAGCCAAGAGAAAGTTGAGAAACACCTTGAGGAGTGAGACTTTATTGAAGAAGAGCCCTCAGCTTTATGAGCAAAGAAGAAACTGCATGCTTCTGGATTTAATCACTCTGTTAAGAATGTTCTGGTATGCAACAAAGGCAAACCACTAACAAGCGAGAAGAAACTTGTGAATAAGAACTACAAAGAGAAGATTGATAAGCTATTCTGCGAAGATATCCAAGACATTGACTTGTCTTCAGTTTCTCTAAACTCAGACGGAAGCGTCTCTTGAGAAGGAGAGTATGCTATTTTTATCTCCCCAAATAAAAGAAGTACTTTTAAGAAGCAATCTTCATTGAAGAAGGATTGCTTTCCCTCCTTTTTGAAGCTTCACAAGAAGTCATCAATGAGGACTAACATGAAAAACATTACGGAGTCTGTCAGGAGCAATGATGTATCATCTCCTGAGTTAATGAAGAGACTCCTTTGCTAATAACTTTTAATATCTAATAGATCATTTACTGTAATTTCTCTTCACTAATTCAGGTCAAATCGGGTCATTTCCCTGAGTTTTAGTTTAAATCAGAGCTTAACATCACCTTCATGTATCTTTGGTAGTTTATAACTCCTACTAATTCCGGGGGTTCCTACTAATTTTCAGACTTAGCTTAAGAGCTAGGAGAAGATGCATAATATCCTAATGACCCCGAATAAGCTATTACAGCATGAATCTCTTTAAAATTTAGTAACAGAATCAAGAGCACAGTTTTTATGATTCTTCTTAAGAACTTTTAGGCATATAATGGAAAGAAGGAATTAAAAAATATATCCCTGCTCCTGAACACTTGTTATTACTGACCCTTCCTACGATGGGTTACGCACTCACAAGGTTTTCTTAATACGAAGAATTCTTGCGGTGAAGTGGATTTTTACATAAAAACTCTTCTATTGGGTAAAAATCTGATTTGTAAAATTTAATGATCAGAAATTATGAAGAAGGAACCTGCAAAATTTATTTACCAATTTTAGAGGGCAAATGAACCTAATCCAAACTGATTTCCAATGTTTTAGAGCAACAAGACAAGGCTTGATTACGTTATGAGCATATCACTATCACAAAAATGCGGTTGACTGAGTTGGTAAATGTATATGAATCTTAAGCTTACTATCACATTTAGCAAGAAATAGGTCAGCTAGCCGATACTGGCAGTGTATCTAAGGTCATAATTCTAATCACATTCCTCATCAAGGATATGAGTTTCTCAAGAGTTCAAAACATTTGGGTCTTTCTAACCTAGGGCTTGGGACTGTAGATGTATGTTTAATAGAAGAGATCAAAATAATTCAGCCAAATAGTGTACATCCTTCTTTAATATAACACGACCCGCTTTTGCTTAATGTTCTCAATTGTGTTCAGAAGGGTGGAACTTCTTCAAACACCAAAATTGCTTATAGTAAATTCTGGAACTTTGATTTACAGCAAATAACTTTAGTTTATTTTCATTCACTTAATTCTTGACGTTTTAGCTGAATAATTTCTGAGTTAAAAACTTCCAATGAAATTTATCTAAAGCTGGAGGTACTCTCTCACAAGCTTTCAGAAGGTTTAAATGAGATGAAGGGATTCTTCCCTATAATTAATTTCTTCAATAACTCCTCTAAGCATGCAGCACATATTGGATAGTAAGCCTCTAGCTAACGGTTATGATTATTTATACCTAATTAAGCAATCTTAGCAAGGGTTTCTTTGCAATGGGAAAAGATCACGTTTAGGTCTTGAAGAAACCTCTAGGACTCTTTACAGTTGCAAATATTCTTAATTCCAGGGGACTAGCAAAATTTGAACTTGCTTTAAAAACTAAGTTTTCTTTCATTAAAGTTGTAGAAATAAGTTATTCAGTTTTATTCCTAATTCATTGCACTTGCAAATAATAATCAGTGATTGCGATAATTTTCTTAGAGTGGACAGGGTATTAAGTGAAGAGAATACCCCTTGAGTGCAGCATCGTTCGTCTACATAAATAAACCGATTTTGGGTAATTTAGTACCAAAGAGTGGCTAAAACTCAGATGAATCTTTTGCTACTACTCAATTTATAGCATGCATTAGTTAATGAGTTGTCCTAGTTCATTTTTGATATCCAGAAAAATTAGCAAAAAGTGTCAAGTTATACACTAAGTGGTGATCCGGAAAAATCATCAATATTAATGGCTATTTTTATGCATAAAAAGCTTAAGAAGTCTCCAACTTTTAATTTGTTAAGAGAATTTTATGATAAGCTATCAGACTTTTGATAGCTCAAGAAGCTATGATAACCTTAGCAAACTAACAGGGATACGATCTATGAGGAAATTTGGGAAATATTTCACTTAACCGTTCACCTAAGAATATTATCAACCTTAATGGCTCTTTAAACCATTGAGGTATGATTCTAATAATTTTAGAATGCGGAAAGCAAATTAGCAATTATTTTAGCTTCACTTAATTTAGAGGGATATCAAATCGTCTAATATTTTAAGACAAATAGAGGTTTTATGCTAAATTCAGGAGGGTTTGAGGTAATTTTGATCAGTACTTTGGGGATAATGACTGGCACAATTGGAGTGATGAAGAAGAGGATTTTGTGAGAGTTAGAGGGGAAATAGAGCAAGCGTGATTAGGGTAATAAATTTTGGGAAATTCATATTTTGCAGGTAGGAGTTATTTGAGAGAGGTTTGGAGGAATTATGAGGTTTTAGAAATAGAATTAGATTTAGGAGGTCTTTGGCTTTGAAACATGCAAGATTTTAAGTTTACGAATTTCTATGGTAACTATACTTAGTTTTCTTGTTTTTGAACATCACCGGGAAGAACACTTGATCAGTATTTTAAGATAATAACACAATTTGCAAACTTTTGCTTCTTTTGAGTCAGAAATCTTTAGTAATATTTTGCTAGAGACACTGATCGCATCTTCTTAATAATTCATACTATATTTCATTGTGAAAGCAATACTTTGGCTAAAATAAACCACTACCATGAAAATGGTTTATCTGATTCTTAAAATTCTGCTTATCCTAGAGATAGCTAGTCTCGTCAGAAATTTTGGTGAATCAAACCTTTTTCTTAACTTAACAGCATTTTTCTCTGATTAGACGAGATTTTCTCTCAATAAAATGTTTTAAGGCTTACAATGAAATATCTGCAAGAGTTTTCAATTTTAGCTCTTTTGAAGATTTTAAGCCGAAATTTAGAGAAGTTATGATAGAGTCTCATTTATTGGAGAATTCTTAATGGCCTTCTCATTGATACTGGCCGAAACATTTCGTCAAGTTTCATGTTAAGTCGAGAGTTTACGAACTTGGAATTTAGAATAATGGAGTTTTGGAGAGGAGGAGACGTCTAAATTTCCGGAATTGTCTGAAATACTAATGCAAAGCCTTCTAATAACTCATTGAGTATTTCCAAAATCGTGCTTATGCATCTTCAAGAGCAACTGGTCACTCTTAAGAACAGTGTAGATCTGTAGAGCATCCATTTTCTGAGGATTATCAAAATATTATTCAAACTAGGTTCATCAATATTGGAAACTTCCTATGGGGTTTTGGGGTTTTGGGGTTTTGGGGTTTTGGGG